GCGTTTAATGGCTACAATTAATGTGGTAATCATTGAACGCAAGAATAAAAAAATGCAAAGGAATCAAGAAAAATTACACAGCTTAACTGCACAGTGTATATTGATTGTTTATAGGATTATTGATTGTAGTTATGTGTTTGTGTACTTATTTGTTGAAATTCAAATTTTTGCTCTAGCTAAGTGAGAATACACATAAACAATAACAGTTATCGTAATTCACCTCTTAAAAGGGGTCATTAATGACTAATACCTGAACCTTTTAAAATCAATGAGAAGTACTTTGTTTTGTTTTATATTGCTCTTAGAAAATGTGATTAAAATACCAATTGCATACCTGCCAACTTTTAATCCCTTCCATTATCATTTTTCCCAGTGGTATTAAAATGGAATTAAAACTTCAATTTTAAGCAAACAAATACGTTGCATTTGAAAAAACTTAAGTTGACAACCATGATAGTAACACATATTAATATATGTGCTTCATTTTTGTAAGACTAGTGGTGATCAAAATCATTTAAAAATTAAGTTTATAAAAGAAAAAATAGTATATATTTACTACCACTTTAAATATGAAAACAAAATCTTCTGGAAAATCCGGAAGAGTTGGCAGGTATGCAATTGTGATTAAAATACTAAAGTTATTATATTTTAAATTCCAACAACACATATTTTTTTATAAAAATATTAAACTTTATTAGCAAAAACGTAATATTTTATCCTCTCACTCTTCCCAAAATGAAGTTATTTATCGTGGTTCTGATGTTCAAATTTGAGCATCCGTGTTATGAGGAAAAATTCAGCGCAAGTTTTGTAGATGTTTATCTTCGCTATCATTTCTGTCCGCCGGAATTCGCAATAACAATTGTCTATTGGATCTTTGTCAATTCATTTGGAATCAATATCTTTTCGAAAAAACGGATGCACAAAACTTTTTTCATAAACAACCCTCAAGAGAATTTGGAATTTACTGAAAATATCTGTTTTTGCAATTTATGTTTTTGATTACAACTACATTTTTATTCAATGTAATTAATATCTAAACCAAGATGATGATTATTGATCCTTAATTTTATGAGTGGTATAAAATTTTTTACTGATTATACGAGTATATTAATTCACTGCTAGTGATATAAACTTAAATAAGATATTTCTTGCATTAAATGTGGGAAGTCTATCTTTATATATTTCATTTATTTTTCATTTTGTAAGTTTTTTATGAATTGGTTGAATGCAAGTGACATGACGCGTGGGTCAGCCAATCAGGTTCGACAAAAACGCGTGACGTCGCTTGCAGGTATCCAATTAAATCTGAAAAGAAAATTGATTCAGCTTGATAATAAACCAAAGCTTTAAAGCTGTAATGTTAACATGCCATGCACAACCGCATGGTTACACACAACCATGTTACTCCAGCAGTGGACTGATCGTTAAGAAACGGTTCCTAGCAGATCACCGAAGTCACGCATCACTGGCTGCGATCAGCCTGCGAAAGGATCGAGGGTGTGCGGTATTAGTCCTCGTTAAACTGTTCTACCTTAAAGTGCTCGACTTCACGTACATGTCGTTGGGCTACCAAAGTGGGGGTGCCATCCCCTTCTCAGAGGATTAAAATTGTGATGGTATGTCTTCGAATCAGCCTCAGGGATGTTTCTCAGACCGTCGCCAATAGCCCATTGTGCAGCTCTAGGGCGACGTAAATGAACTATTACACAACCATGTTATTAGTTGCAAACACAAAATCCATTGTTTCAATTTTTTAAATTTTAAACTTTTGAAAATGAGTTGGAAATCAGCGAGGTGAGAAGTCTGATAATATAATGTGAGAAGAATGGAATTAATAAAAATTTCTGAGCACACATAAATTAATTTATTGCTGATGAGAATACAAAATACCCATATGACAATAATATTAATATAAAAATATTTTAATGTTTCTGTAAGAAAGTTATTTAAATACTTGATCTCGAATAAAAAAAATGGTTAAATGTATATAGGGAGTTAATTTATTTTTGTTTATCAGTATATTGTGGCATGAATCTGGTTACCCGTTTCAATGAGAACGTAATGCCACTTGAGACATTTTCAGTCACAAATTCTCCTTGATATCCATAACTAATTTAAAATTTAAAGTATAGAAAAGATGTAAGTAAAGTAAAGATGCTGAACATATTCTTCTTTATTGTAGTCTGTATGCGAGTGCCCGAATGAATTTAAGGACTGATTTGAGACGTCTTTCTATTTGTTGGCCACCTGTCTTATCGAAACTGGTCAAAAGTATTGAAAGTCTTGCGGCCTTGCGAAGTTTTGTTTTTAATGTAAATTTGTAAATTTTTCTTCTTTTTGTTTTCTATTTACAACTGCAAGCCTCGTGCTATACTTTGTGGTGCATGAGGAGTTTTAAGTCGTTTAAATAAAAAATAAAAAAAGAAGTTTAGAAAAATTGAGTTCAGACAAACCTAAAGTAAGCCATGGAGTTTCACACTCTGAAAAGAAATTTTTGAGATATCCATATGAAAAAAAATTATGAGAAGATAACTTGGGATTATGCAATGGAGAAGTTATCTTCCATAACTTGTTCATATTTTGATATTTTGAAATTTTTTTCAGCAATTAAAACTTCGTGGCTTTCCCTAAGTTTGCCTAAATTCACATTTATTTTTAAAATTAGTAATGGAGTTGAAAGAGTATATGAGACGAAACATTTCTCCCGTTGTATGGCGTCCTCTTCAAGCATTTTGCGACGAATTAATGATATCATTCATAATCTTCATGTTCAAAAGAATTTTTTTTGATCATTTGCGATAGGATTATCTTAGTGATTGAAATAAATAAATCTTTTTTATTGAATTGCACTTAGCCTTTTTTTCTTGTATTTCGTTATTAGTGCTTGAAATCTACTTCCTGTTAGCTTGTTGTAATTTAAAAAGGCTAATTTTTGGTTTAGTTGAAATATTTTAATCATTTAGTAACTATTTAATTATTTAGTTATCTTTGAAATGAAGTTTTTAATTATAAACATTTATCACAGTACGTTTTTTTATTAGCACGTATCTCGTTATGATAGAATCTATAAAAAAGTAGATAAGGTGCATTATTTTTCAGTTTTGCTTCTCTTAATTCAATGAAATTATTTATTTTGAGTACATTACTTAAATAAACTTCAAAAAAAATATTATTCAAATTGTTTTTAAAATCTTAGAGATGTTCTGAGCTGATTTTCAATCTTATCGAATCCTAACTTGGTGATTAAATATTTCTTTTAGATAACATCTTCCTCAGTTTTTTCTTCGTCTAATAAAAATGAAAAAGATAAGTGTTTCACAACAATGCAGTTTCTGTAATATTAAAAAAAAATTTATGACTATACAATGTACGTGTTCATAAATTTTTAGCTAGCAGAGAAAAATACAGACTTTCCATTAAATTAATAATTACATAATTACTCATTAAATGATTTATTTATATTTAATATATA